AAAATCCACTTGAACCAGTTAAGCTGCTGCCTAATATTTTAAGGACGACCAATTGCCAAACAGTTTATTATTAGAGCTAAAAAATCAAGTCATTCTAAAAAATACAGTAGGAAATTATTTTAAAATGGATATAGTCGCTTTTTCAGATATAATTTAACACATTTGAACTCACAGACAACAACAGTATTTTTATTTCCCTATGTAAATCGTTATTTCATGGATACGCCAATAACAATCCTCACGATAAAGTTAATATATCTCAGATAAAATTGAGCTTTCTTGAAAAATCTCAAAATGGCTCTAAATACAAGCATGACAAAATCTCTACTGTTATTAAATATTTAGTCTTTATTTGGTGTTGTTTGTTTTGTAAACCACTGATATAAAAACAAAAATATACACAATTAGACAACAATAACGACAATGTTTTCTCCTCAGCGTTTTTCAGCAGTGCCACTCGGATAAATATAGTCTTAATCCAAAAATCTTCTCTTTCAGGACCGATGCCATGTCTCACCAAGACCTGATCCCATCCACACTTCCCGTCGTCAGATTCATATCCACAAAGTGGTTCGGGATCTGACTTGTGTTGGCAAACGAGGGAACAGAGGTGAAGTTGCAGTGGTATGGGTTATTTCCATAGCTGTTGTAATAGTTATTGTATGGATATGATACAGTGACATTGTAAGGAGCTCCGTGACAGGGCTTTCCGTCTCGCACCAGCACGGGCACCGCAACCCTCCGCGGGCCGGACAGCTCTAGGCTCCTGTCCTGTCGCTGTCTCTTACACTTGTACCGCCGGTTCTGGAACCATATTTTGACCTGTGTGGAGGTGAGCTTCAGGACATGAGCCAGGTGGTCTCGCTCGGGTGCGGACAGGTATCTCTGCTGCTTGAAGCGTCTCTCCAGCTCGAACACTTGAGTTTGAGAGAAGAGCACTCGGGGTTTCCTGCGCTGCCTCTGCTTTGGCTTCTCTCGGGGTGCTTCCTCTTTATAGCTGGAGTCGTCAAACGGACACAGGCCTACAAACACAAATAGGCTAATAATAATAATAATAATAATATATTATGCGTAAATGCAATATGAAATACACTGAATGAGGAGGATCAATAAATACAACTACAAATAGGCTAGTGCTTGATATGTTTTAGGTCACACTTTAGATTAGGGTCCAATTCTCACTAATAAATAATATTAACTATGAACTCGAATACTGCTTATTAAAAGTTATACGTATTGGGTAGGAATTGGTCATGCATACGACATTAATATGCTATTAATGCTACTAATATGTGCTACTATGTATTAAACAGCCAATATCCTAGTAAAGTGCATGCTAATAAGCAATTTAATACTGAGAATTGGACCCTAGGGGTTCCCGTTTTTTATGTAAGGTTAATTCAGCATAATTGTTTCCCAATATACCATAATTCTGTGTTGACAGAACTGATCAGTCAGCCTACTGCAAAATAAAGTTGCTGCCTTATATTTTTAAGTAGGTACAATCAACTTGGATGTTTAAGTCTTTTCAACTTAAATTACGTTAAACTAACTCGGTGGAAAAAAATCTAAAAAAAGTGGAATCTAAATATAAAAATAGGCTAGTGGAATCTAAATCTAAAATTAGTGGAATCTAAATCTAAAATAGCGGAATCTTGGCATCAGACTGTGAAATATTTTTTGGGGTTGTAACTAAATATTTAAAACCAACTAAAAAACGTTGATTTCCTAAATCCTTCAACTTGCAATTATTTGACAGTATTATAGCCTATTTAACCAGCCCCATTTTGAGCTCAAAACCCGATGCATAAAAGAAATATAAGCTTTTTTTTCGAGATTTAATTTTAATTGAATGAGAATTATTAATTAAGAATTGTAATGAGTCTTAAACGTAAATTTAAACATGTTTATTTTATTTTTATTTTTACGTTGTATTTGTTTACATTTATGAATACGAATCACATGAACTAAACAATCCATTCCCTTGTTGTTCCATTCCATTAAGATTAATACAAAATGTTTTATTAAGCTATAGGTTGTTTTTTTTTACTCGTTTAACATTCTTAACTCGTATATGAATAGCCTAGGATTATTCAATTCAATTTGATGAAATTTGACTATTAATTGATTTTTTTTTTTGAGTGTATCTATTGAAAGAAGACGATTGAAGCTATAAATAATAACTATAAATATCCTACTTGTTAAATCATACTAGGCCTAAATATCCTACTTGTATCTTCGCCTGGATCCATGTCCTCCTCGGTTGGAGACCCGCAGGAGCTTCTGAGCGTGTCGAACTCGTGTGAGTTGAGCTGATCCCCCGTGCCCGCGCCCGTGCCCGTGCAGAGGTTCTCAGGGCTGTAGAGCAGATCCAGGCTCCGGCTCAGGGTGCTCTGAATACACTGCAGCTGAAGCGAGTCCTGCTCGACACCCATCAGTGCGTGAGGGTTCAGAGCGTGTTGATGTTCCAGTTTGAGGATGTCCTTCACCGAAAACGGAGTCGAGGTTACGGGACTCGGAAGCATCGCTCGACAGATTTGCGTGTGTGCTTGAAGAAAGGTGGAAGAAAGCTTGCTCAAACGCAAAGCGACATCAGTTGACTTTGTAAAGTTCCTTCAGATGTCCACAGGTGAGCAGAAGAATATGGTCCACCACCGCAGTGAAGCGTTCTGGACGTGTCGCTGTTGTTTGACGTGTGTGTCCTCGCAGAAGCAGCTCTTGATGAAGAATAGCCCCCGTCTTCCTCTTTCCGCTGTTGAAGGTGCAGAGAGAAGAGCTCTTATCTAATACACAGCGTCCTTATCTCAGACTGACCCCTCCCATTCTGTGCGTCCCATCATCACCTGTCTGAACACAACGCTTGTTTAAAAGTCTCCGACAGAGGATCGTTGAGATTGAAATGCCATTTAATGTGCAATTTAAACGCGATTCCACACTATTTTGTCAAGTGGGCTTTAGCTATACAGGTAATAACATTGAAATTACCGGTCATATATTTACTTATGATTAAACCTGATAGGTTAGAAAAACGAAGTTTAGGCCTAATGCAATAAATAAATCCAGGTGGAAATGGAAAACGAATTTTTGGATTTAGCTGATAGTATTAGCCATTAATCTTAGTATTAACTGCATAGTCCAGTAGGCCACTATTCAATTAATAGCTGTTAGTCTTAGAATACTTTTCAATGAAATGCTGCGGATCTGCAAGAAATTCAATTGCCATATATGACATGGTCTGGAATAGTTTAGGACTTATTCATAATCCACTGTCTAAAAAAAAATCACATGAAAACCATTCAAAAGTCAGTGTTTCAAAACCCTTACAAATATCGATATTATTTACATTCATGTATTTAGCATATAGCATTACGTTTCAGTCATTTTAATAATGGTTGTTTTTAGCATGTAATAGGCCAAGATATCTGGTTAAATAACTTAATATTATACAAATCACTGCAGTGTTCATACATGTGCTCCCTCCTAAGCATGCGGGTAAATTGGTTTGTGCTTCGCTGAAGCAAAGTGGATGTCCGAAAAGGTGACGCCGACAGTGACATCCAACAGGCCTATTAGTGTACACAGGCCACAACAAACAGTAACCCTACACCTGATGTAGCTCTGGCGCCAGCCCGCAATGCTTGAGTGAGGGTCAGACACCTCAGCTTCAGTCCATCATGCAGAGACCGCCTTTATTCAGAGCCGATACCTGTGCAAACCTTGCTCATTTCCCCTATAGTTAAGCATTTCATGTTTCATTTGATATGCTATTTAATGGCCGCGTTAGATTTTTCATTTTAGTGACTGCCTGGGCGGGACAAACGATGTTCCCTCGTTTATAATAAAAATAGAACACACATTTTCAAATGAAATGTTCTTAATCACTTTAATTATTTAGCTATGAGAAAATAAAATGATAAAAATCGAATCACCACGCGGTCGTTGTAATAGGTCTACAGTTATGGCGCATTATAGCGAATTATTCAGTGGTCAGAAGTCTCCAGAAGATCAGATCAGCATTCATTTTTATTGCTCGATACATTTTCGACTCCACCCTGTCAACACACCCATGTGGGGCCCATAAGGGTTGGATATGGGCTGGTGAGTGGGCCCCATTTGGGCTGCCCAGATGGGGCCCAGCTAATTTTGTCCGGGGGTTCCATGGTGGCCCCATGTGGGCAGGCCCATATGGGCTGAAGGTGGGCTTCACATGGGCCCTAGCTAAAACCCACATGGGCAACCCAGGTTTCTCCCATCTGGGGCCCACACTAGCTGGGCCCCATGTGGGCTGATTATGGGTCCCTGCTTACCATTAATAACCACTATTATTATGGGCTATCAAATTCATTTCGGGGCTTATTTTACAGTCAGCCCATACAGTTAGGGTCAACCCTTTTGGGTTACAGTCAGCCCAAATTAGATATTATTGGATCTGGTGGACTCACCACATTATTAGACTTAAATCAATACAGCCTTAACAATTTATGTAAAACTATTTAACAGATGTTTACTTGAGCTCAATTTTACCAATGGTATACATAATTTATGGTTCGTATTCGTATTTACCCCTCTGAGATAAGAATAATTTAAAAAAAATAAAAACAAGATTTTATCATTATTGTTGCTCATTTCTTACAACTTAATCAGAACAGGTGAAAGTTCTTTTTTTGTGTGGTAATAGCAGGTGCAGAAAGAACATTTGCACACACAGCAGGCCCAGTAATGAGGAGGACACACTTTCATAGCACCAACAAATATTACACTTGGGTTCAGTAGACCTGAACATCTCATTTGTAATAGTTGTGTAGGAGGGTGTCCCATGTGCAGTCATTGAAAATAAGTTATTTTTTATGTTCTTCACAGAAAATAAGCCATGGCCAATAAGTTTGAGTTAGAAGAATTAATAAATCGCGTTACTTTTTCTTTTAGCAAACATTGAAAACGGGTCCCACAGACCCGAACACCTTCGGTTAAACAAACTACAATAACAAAGAGACCAGTAATAAAATTTCATTTTTATTTAAGTAAAATTAACATGCTTTTGCACAGTGTTCCCTCACTCTCAAGCCTGAAGTCTTTGTTGAGGGGTTGCTTGTCGGGCCTGTCTATTACCCCCCCGGTCTCTAGCACCGATGAGCCACTTGGAGACCGCCTTCTCTGCATCTTTACGGGTGATTTGGCTGGTCATGGCGTTTTTCTTTAAGCCTCCTTCAAGAAACAAATATAACGCTCAGTTACTTAATATGTGGCAACATAACTAGCCAGGACTGTAAAGACAACTATGTTTAGAAAAGAGCTATATAAACTAAGATTGTTCAAGAGAATGTGTGTATTTCTAATAATACACAAGCTAAGCAACTGAGAGAAATGTGAGAACACAATTCTCAGCCAGGACAACACATGCTCCATTCACAAACTTAAAAAAATTGACATGTTTATAATGTTAGGGTTTTGTGACACTATATTATCAATACAACTTGACACATTATCCACATGCACACCTACCATATATTACTTCATACAGTTTTAAGGCCTTGAACTCTCTCTTCCCATTTCGGCCCACAAAGTTATACTGCCTGGATAGGCCATGGTCTAGGAGGAAGGTCATCATCCTTTTTGTGGCCTCGTCAACAGTCGCCCCCCCTATGTCAGTCACAGCTGCAACCTGAGGGGGAACAAAGGCAATACAAAGAAAATTTATCTACAGTATATTGCTTAATGGAGTAAACCACTCAACATGAAAGAGCTGCCAGAAGCATGGGTGTGAGCTAGGGGTGGAACAGTACATGCATTCATACTGAACCGAAACGGTACGGTGCATGAATAAATAGAGAATACACGGTATAAAAATAAACAAAACTAGGGGGCTGTTTACACCTGGCCACTTGCATTTTCTGTGATCGGATAGCCATCCGATCGTGTAAAGACCAGGTGTAAATGCCCTCCGAAACGCATTCGAGACTCGAGATTTGAATCCGATCACTCTAATCACTTCAGGAGGTGGTCTGGGCCGCATTCCAGATGAAACTGGACAAGTCTAAGTGCATCTGGTTGTTGAAACCACATATGTAAATTTTACTCCTCCCAAAAATGCTAAAAAAAAAACATGTGAGAGCGTGTTATATAGGCTATATGTCACGATATAGTCAGATATGATGACGCTGCGACACGCATCACCTCAGATGTGCAGTTGAGCGTCTATTCATCAGCAATGCGCCATAAACTATCGCAAATCAAAGTGAAAGTAAGTCACAGATGCTTAACACATCCATCTTCATTAAAAGAAAACAAAACAAAATGATCTTACCAGGACTGCTGCTGCGCTCTCTTATTGCCTTCTTTGATTTTGAAATTAGCTGATGAACAATAAAATGCAGCAATATTTGTTGCTTTCTGTGACATGCACTCCATTAAATCTGCATATAGCGCGGGAATTGAAGATCGGATTTATATCCGTTTTCCAAAAACACATTTTTGTGACCAGGTGTAAATGGAATCGTTTTGATAAATCAGATAGCTATGCTAAATAAAAAAACAATGCCTTGTAAATTTTTGTTTTGCTTTTTCCTCCATTGTACCGAACCGTGATTTTTGTATACTGTTCCAACCCTGGAATGTACACAACAGAGAAGTTTTACCAGTTCAAACTTACATACAATGACTGCTGAGTCTATATATACACGTTTTAATCATGATTGCTGTGTGCTCTCCACCCGTGTTAATTATCTGAACGTGCTTCTCCCGAACTTTGTTAATAAAACATAATTTCAGATCAAATTCACTGCAAGCCCCCCAATAAAATTACCCTAGACTTAACAAACATACCAGTTCGGACATGAAGTTCGGGTTTGCCAGTTTTTCTTCCACGATTTCCACATCCCTAACTGTCTTTAGGGGGAAACCCTCTGGGATAGAAGAGACGGTGGTGCTAATGTTGCCACGCTGTTGTAGCAGCGTTTGTAGTATCCTCCCCTGGATTTTTTGTGTCTCTTTCATCTCCTCAAGCAGTGTTAAGATGCGAACAAACATGTTGTCCCTGATTTGTCTTTGAGGGGTTTCTGGTGACATGGTAATGGGTTGAAACACTGGCCATCTAAGGGTACCCGGAGGTGGTGGAGGTGTCGGCCTAGCAGATGGAGGCAGTGGAAGTGAAGATCGGGGTGTCGATGGAGGCAGTGGAGGTGAAGATCTGGTTGGAGGCAGTGGAGGTGAAGATCTGGTTGGAGGCAGTGGAGGTGAAGATCTGGTTGGAGGCAGTGGAGGTGAAGATCTGGTTGGAGGCAGTGGAGGTGAAGATCTGGTTGGAGGCAGTGGAGGTGAAGATCCGAGTGTGGATGGAGGCAGTGGAGGTGTCAGCACAGATCTACACCGTACAAAAATTCACACTGTAAAAATCTTGTGCAATAACAAAAACAAATAGTAGTACTAATTTCCCCTAGCTTTTTCTTTTTCATTCAACTTTTATGAATAACATTACGAACTGAAAAATATGTTGTCTGTAATACAAAAAAAAAAAGTTTAGTTGAGTCAACTTATTTGTTTTCTGGAGATGTGCCAGTATTCTGTAACAAATCTATTGTAGTTGAGCCAATTCAACGTTTTGTGTCTGCTGGAAACAATTATAATAAGAATAAACAGGTCCAGATCTTCTAATCACTTCTGTCCAGGAATAAGATTAGTGATTTATTCTAGTTGTTCATGATCATCTTGGTTTCTTTCTTTCTAAGCAAAAAAATATGTGTTTTGTTAAACACTGTTCAAAGACCACAAACTTACACAACAAAGCCAAGAATCTAACCATCCAACCTGAGGAAACTCATCACTAAAATGGTAAAACATTTAACAGTGTGGAGGTGATTACCTGAGGGTGGATGGAGGTGTAGGCCTGATTTGGCTGCCGGACCAATTGTCATCATCCTCATCCTCACTAGACAAAATCACTCGCCTAGAAATGTATAATATACAAGCCCAATCAATGAGCTAAAGCATTTTTTTTTTGGTTAATTGTGTATCTGCTGTCCACCTACCATGTTTAGACAGCTTTGAGCCAAGTACACTTAACAAAACTTTACCTTCCTGTGTCATTGGGAAAATAAAATGTTCATCATCCATTTAGAAGCAGTAGTTCAAAATCAATAGCCTCACCTCTTTTTGCGCTTCCCCCTTCCAGTCTTCACTGTAGAATCAGACTCGGTTGGTACATCAGTGTTTTGCTCATACTCCACTAATTTTCTGCGGGCAATTTCATACGTAGCTTTGGAGACAGACAAATGAGTGGCAATTAGTTTAATTCAGAGCTAATTTCAACCGAACCAACAGTGAACTCAACATGTCAAATAATCTCATACAAATAGACACATTACCAACTTTTCTCTTGACAGTCAACTTGTATGTCGCCCAGTCAGTGTGAGGGTCCTGTTGCTCCATGACCGCCTTTGCCATGTTCATCCTTGTTGGTGGCCAGTAGCATTCATCCTCCTCAGGCCCGACAAACCATTTGGTTGGTATAACTGCCAATCCCCCACCATTTATAAATTCAACTATCCCGAAAGGTAACATGCTTAAAGAAAAACAAATACATACAAAAAAATTTAAACAAATGAAACAAATAATTAGCACTTTAGTGCAGGAGTGGAAGTGCCACGTATCCAGTCTTGTGTGGTAATAACACCATTTTTGTTTTTAACTCCTCCACAGGTAACAGCTGCAAGTCTTCAGATAAATTACAAACAAAAAGAATTCCAAGACGCGATGAGTCCATTGGATAGGTGAAAAAGGATTTGGCAGTTTCAAAGAAATTACACAGGACTTTAACAGTTCCAGAATGTGACAAAATGTTCCGCACAATAAGAATCCTTCTCCCTACAGAAAAACAGTCATCGCCACGAGAGGAGGAGATCAGTGTCTGTCCATCATTGTAACGCCTGTATTGTTCCCATGTTGCAACTGAATTAATCATTGGTCCAGAAAAGTGGAGCTGTTTGAGTGGGCTGAAAACTGATGTGGTCTTTTGGCTTGCCACTTTCTGCTTCTCATGGATTCGCCTGACGAGTTGTTGGACAGGGTTTTGAGGCCGACGGACAAGTTTTTTCAGTTTACCTAAAAATGTCTCAAAGGGAAAAGCTGAAACACTATCCAACGGGCCGAATTTACGTGCATCTTGAGCTAGGTGGATCAAGGAATGTATGTTATAGCTGACAAATTCATTGCCATAAATTGCAGCAAAGTCTGTTACAAAGAGTTTCAAAATCTCCTCAGCATAGTCACAATTGTCAGAAGAAGAACATAAGGCAGGACTCAGGAGAATTCTCATAGATACCGATAGAAGTAAAAAGTTTCTGTACATTATAGTGGGTATATTATTGAGGAGAACAACAGGACCAGTGTAAAGTAAAAATTGACGCAGCTCTGTAGCTTTCCATGTGCTGAATTCGAACAAGGATCGTGGTTTCCTTGCAAAATTGCTAGGTAAATATTGCCTGATAGAAACCATAAATGCTGACATTACAACAAAAAACTTCATAGATTGCCTGCATTTTAGTGGCCCCTTTAGCCAAAGAAATATTAACTTGCGCATTGCCCCCAAACACACAAGGTGCATATAATCTAACACAAAACTGGTCACTAGACCTATACCCAACTCATTTAGTGGGGAGGTTGACAGTTGGTGGTGCTGATAGCCTTGCCTCCCAAATTGCTCATCTGTCCTAAGCTCTGCTGATGTTACAGGATAGGCCACCTTCCCATTAATGTACTGGCCTTTTTGAGTGCACCTCTCACACCCATAATAGCCTGTATGGCCTTTGGAACATTTAAGAAAAGCACGAGCAGGTGCATCACAAATAAAAGCATCGGGTAATGGTACCCTGAAATGTACACCATTGTACACAATTCCACTCTGAGAAACAGCTTTCATATCTACAATGAATTCTTGTAAATACTCTTGCACATTTGCGGGTTTAGATGCACCCGAATACACTCCAATTACGAAGACACTACACTCGGGAATTTCCTTAATCATACCCAGAATCGGCCACAGACTCATACTGGAGCTACGGAATAAGGGCAATCCATCGATATTAATTCGGAGTGTGAGAGTATCAGTCACATTTGCTAAATGTCCTAAAGATGTTAGTTCAGCTTTGAGAGAATTTTCGACTCCAAAGTGGTAGTAGGACCCCCCAGACATATTTGCAACACTGCAAGATCTGTCAGTTGACATAAGAGTTCTGCCATCCATTGGGATATCAAGGCCCTTCCTCCGTAGGATTTTAAGAAGTGCAGACAGCGCTGTTTGTGGAATGTTAAATTCTGCAGCCCACTCTGCAAGCCCAAGCGAATCATTATTATTGTCTTCTTCTATGTCAGAACATTCATCTCCATGCAAATCACTGTCACTATCACAACCAGGCATATCACCTGGCATCCAGTTTTCAGAATCCAAATCATCGAATGAGGAAAGGTTAAAATCATAAAAAGAATCTGAGAAAAAATCTTCCTCTAAATCGCTTGACTCAAAACAGTTCTGATCACAAGCATCGTAGAAAGTGTCTGTAGAATCTTCACTTTCAGTATGCTCTAACAAATCATCCAGTGGGCATTCAGATTCATGTGCCACCAAATCATCAATCATAGACTCATTTTCAAGGAGACGTAAATGTTCCTCCACTTTTGCTGATATTTTCCTCCTTTTAGTTCTCTCTGAATACTCCATTATTTCTCTAAAAAAAGGAGAAAAAAAAGAAATAAAAAGCATTTTAGTTTTTAGTTATGAATACAGGGGTTCGGAAATGACAAACTATAGAGTGCAATTGCAAATCATATAGTTTGTTAAAGCTGGTATTAATGTGGCTGATTTCACCAACAGTTCTTCTAGTAGCAGTACAGTACAGTGGGCTACACCAGAGCCATGGAGAAAGAGAGTTACAACACTCCCATAGACCGACACAGGAACTTAGGAATGAGGAAGTAACGCGTGTCGTGGAGCCGCCAATAGTTCCGATTCTGGATCGATTCTGAGAATTTCAGAATCGATTCTGAGCCTAGTTTTTAACCAGATGTGCGATGATGCTGAGTTTGCTTTAGAAACACCCCGTATTCTGCTTGCTTCCAATTCCTCACATAGGCTACTGTAGGCCTACATACACCACTCGAACCTTACGTAAAATAATCTTTCATAAAGTTTGGAAAGATTGAAGCGAATTACGAGGACATTCACAGACTTCATTGCACGCGCTTTGAGAGACGCGCACTTTGTTTGATGTTACACTTGAAGTGTGCTGTCTCGCCCGTCGGTATTTTCCTTACGAATGCAGTGGACTTATATATTTAAAATATCAACCTCACTAACGGAAGACTGCTTTCAATTTCAAATCCTCACGCACGCTTTGTTTGTGTAGATTGCTCGCGCATGTAGCTGTGTGTCTCCGTGGTTTAATGTACTTGTGCAAAATTAACGGAAACACAGCCAGACAGGACAAACCCCATTACTTCTTATATTTCAAAAGAGATGCATGCGTGCAGCTTAATAGATCTCCCGCAGTCTATGTTGTCAAAGTAAAAAAATAACAGGCTAAAGATGAAGAAAATTCCCTCACAGTTCTTGAATAGAAAACGTTCAGATAATCTATAGGCTCGTGAAAGCACTTTTTGTTTGTTGCTTGTTATAGTTTCTATGCTCCTCTTTATTATTTGCTACTTGCTTGTATGTTTTGAAGTTAAATTAGTTTAAATTCTTAACATACAACTGTTCTAATTATTTTGTATAAAATGTGTAATTATAAAAAAAGTAGGCCTACTTAATTATATAAACTAATGAATTAATGGGGTGGTATATAAAGAATCGTTCTGGAATCTGACCGTGACTTCCAGAATTGGAATCGGATCGTGAGGTGACCAAAGATTCCCACCCCTAGAAATTACTGTATTTTTTTTTTTTTTTTACTCTTACATATTAGCCGACCTTTCGTGAATCTAGTCTGTAGTTAAATGTTATGTCGCTAGGTTTACTAAATGTTTATTGGAAGATAATAGTTTAATTGCAGCGATAGCTTAGGTGACCAACACTTCACTAACGTTACCTGATGTAAATAATATATAATATTATTTAATATTTTATATATGCGTGTCTGTATATTTTTATACATATATAGAATACACACACATATATTTATATATGAAGCATTTAGATGCAAAAGCCTAAGTGCCATTTGAAATATTCTTCAAGAATGATCATTTTAAACAAGCTTGTATATTTAAGTTTTGTTGATAGTTTTCAGGGAGCTGTGAAAAGATCCATTCATTTAAGTGGCATGACACTTGATAACTGCTCACATTCAGCGCCGTTAATATATCGAAAAACAATACACACATTGAAATGATGTCTGATTGTAGGCTATGAGTGAAATCTAATAGTGGCTTTTATTAAAAAATTCATATATATGGAATTATATTTTCATAAGGGGACCCCAGACAGTTAAATATAATCATGATTAAAAAAAAAATGTAACATCACTCACTTATTTCATGCAATCTCCTGGATTAATTAGTGATTAAAAAAAGCATGATGTTACACAATATTTTACTGTCTGGGGTCCCCTAATGAAAAGAAAATATAATTCCCTATAGGGCCTATGTGAATTATCATAAATGGTTTAACAGTATATTTGAAAACATACAGAATTATATGGTGTTAATACAATATATTTCATATTACACAAGCAATTTTCATATATTTAAAAATCTGAGACAATATATTTAGGTATGTAATTTTATATTCAGTATTTACACTTCATATACAGGGATTCAAGTCATCCGTCGCTATGGGAGTACGACGGATTTCCCTCAATTTCAGGGTCCCCCTGTCCTTATGTCTTAAATGACCCTTTTCATTATTTTAAGGCCGTAAATATGCTTACATTTTTCAAATAGTGTAATAAATGTCTCAATTTCAGTTTGAATGGGTCGGGATGTTCATCCTGCTAAGCGAGATGTAATCAAAGCCTGGACTGGAGCTAAAGCACGTTCCTCTCTCCACTCTTACAGTTCTGTTGTCACTCCGCTCCCGATCTACTCCTGGTTTTCAATTCCCACTCACGATAAAAACTGCTTCGTGTTCACACAACTTTAAAAGTTATTCTAATATGTTTATTATTTTAGATCACGAACGTCAGAATTTAAAAGAATATATGTGACGGATTTGAAAGTATTCTACACGTTTAATAAATGTTCCAGCCCTTGCTTCCACATACGAGTAAACAACAGGCCTGGCAAAGCGCACCCATGGTAAAAGGAAATAAAGTTACAGAAAACATCTTCTACAAACAATTTTAATTTGCCAATACTTATTAATAATAAATAAAAGTGCCTAACGTGAAAATCGGATAATAATCAAGTGCAATATAAACATGTTTTGTCAAAGCATTGGTCCCGAACCGGGCATCAACACTACACTAACTGTTACCTGCATCTGCCGTGATTTGACTTCGCCCCAGTTGTTCCATGAAAGCCCTCAAAACACGAAAAGCTGTGAAGTTATAAATATGGTTCTTCCTTGGTTTGAAACATTAAAAGGTATGCAACAGGACGGACCAGTTTTGACCTCGGCATTTGTCCTCCGACTGCAACTGCTAAGTTAGCTGGTAGCGCTTTCACCGGAAAAGAGTTTACCCTACTTCCAGTCTCGACGGCCATTTTTGTGAAATAGGCCTATTGATTTCTTTTAATATGCGCGAGGGAAAGACTGCAAGACAGCGCTCCTTGAAGACGGCCAGAGTGTGGGCGCACGGCCGGGCGAGGCTCTCACTCTCTGCTCGCCTCGGTAGTGTTGTTTGAATACGGTGTGGTAGCGCGCGCTCGAGGCCGGCCGGCTCTATCTCTCTCGGCTCGTTCTTAATTTATATGCGCCCAGGAGTCATTCACCGATCAAATGAGGCTTTATAATAGATACATGAAAATATGGAACTTTGGAAAACACCGACGATTAATCCAAAATAAACAATTCACACAGACAGCTGCCTTGATGTAACAGACAAATAAACATATATAAATGAGTCCCTTATTATTACAATGGAAACCCCTTCTAAGTCACAATTTGTTCCAAAGGTGAATTCGTAATGCAGCAGTTATAAACTGTTCTCTGACTGCTCGCGCGCGGCCATGGGATTCAAATCCGGGCGGGAATAGCTGCTAACCCCCACCGATAAAACATTGCTGATATTCATATGGACTTCCATCAGTGTTTTTTCTTTAACTGTAAATTCAATAAATGCAAACATTAAAATGCTACCAGCTGGTAAAAGTGGAGAAATTGTTTAACAGCTTGCTATGCCTTGCCAACAGCTCCACAACCAAATCCCTCTTATATTAAAGCCAGCCACTCAAAATAAGCTCAACATGCATAATCTTGGCTTAACTTAATAAATTAAACTCGCATGTTCAACGCTACGCTTTAACCAGGTTTAATTGCCAAAGCTACGACTAACGTAGGTTAAGTTAACTGGTTTACCTTTGCTAAAAGCTAAGTTACTTGCCTCTTAGTCTTAACTATAACGTTACTTTCCAAAAAAAAGCTTGGTTAACATGTCATACAGTAAATTCATCCCGTTTTTATGTACTAAAGCAGATTCTTACCTGTCTTTGTCCACACACAACACCGTTATGGGTCCTTCCTCAACGGACAGCAGACTATAAGGCGCCAAATTCAAATTGTTGCTGGGCAAAATTTCGCTCGGTGATGGGGGTGGGGCTTTCCGTATGCACTGCTTACGGTTTTAAAACATTTTGTGGGGAAACCTGTGTCAAACTTGTCTGTTCAAATTTATATAGTGCTTAAAACCATTATTAAATTGACATGGCTTCAAAAATATAAATAGCTCAATAGTTTTATAAATAAATTTATTTTATAAATTGCTCAAATGCAATTTGTATACAATTTGGACCTAGTGGCTGTAAATAAAATATCCATGTCTGACATAATCATGCAATTTTGAATTTGGTGTGGAGTCCAGCCCATTTACTGCCCATGTGGGGCCCAACAACAAAGCCCACTCTCAGCCCATGCCCAGCCGAAGCCCAACCAGCCCAAGTGAGGCCCATGTGGGCCCCAATTAGACGTGTTTAGGTGTGCTTCACGGCCATGCGAAAAAGAATGACACTTTAAACACACTTTTAAGACGTTGTTTTTACGGAAATAATATCTTTTAAACGACTATTTTAAGTGTGATCCGATATCCTAATGTTTTCGGACACTTAATGGAATGTTTTTTGCAATTCAGGTATTATGAATTGCATTATGAAAATGTAGCCTATTATACTTCAAATTTATAGCTATTAATTTATATTAAATTAAAATGCCTACATTTTTTAAAAAAAACTTTAGCCATATCTTTAGAATTTCATAATTACTTCTATTGTCTTTGAAATAAACAAAAATAATTTAATATGTTATATCCATTGATATTTTTATCAATTATGTGAATATTTGTAATTACACACATTACATGAATCTCAGTATTAGTGTTTGAGTGCAAATTAAACAAATGTAGCCTATCGTTTCAAACGTTCACACACCCTTCTTAAAATAGCCTTTTTGTTTTGTGAATTATTTCCACCAAAATAAAATCACAATGTCATTTTCCTTCTAATTTTCAGTAAACAAGAGAATAACAGTAGCCTATGCTATTAAAGATTTTAACTGAAAGATGCAACTTGAACATTAATCGTGGCTATTAATATTTTTCACAAATGCCAGGTCGACATTTTTTCAGACGTGTTTTTAAAGTTGTCATTTTATGCAGTTCAAACAGTGTTTTGACCAAAAACACTTGATTGTTAATTTCACATTTTATGCCTACTTTTTGCATTTTTGCTATTTTGTTTTACTTTTAATTTATGTATTATAGGCGATTATAAACATATGTGATGTTAACGCCGGTTTCCCGGATCTCTGCTCTCGATTTTGTTCATAATTCTCATCTCTCAACATATGTTTATGATAAACTGCATATAGCCTACCATGTGACACTGAAGACTGGAGTAATAGCTGATGAAATGTCAGCTATGCATCACAGA